GTTCAGCAGTATTTCAGCACTAGTGTTTCATGACATGAGTCAATACAGTTCATGGAAAAGCAGAATAGGAAAGATATAAACAGTTAAGTTTTCTGACAGACTTCCACTGCTGACAATATCGAGGGAGTTAGGTAATGTAGAACCTAAAAATAAATACGTGCATACACGTAATCAATGACAACCACCTGCATGTTATCTGGGCTGGTCAGTGAAACCCGAGCGCGTTTCGCCAGACAAACCCAAAGGCAGTGCTCCACGCCAGGGAGCTCCGAGAGCTCCCTCTGCGCAACACCAGTTCCAGACAGGTGTACTTCTGCCCCAAGTCTCCCAGGATCAGGCCACGTGAGACGTTACTGTTTATTCTCAATTCACGAGCATGCAGGCACCTATATAGCGAGTTCTGTATCCACACGTAACGTCTGTGTAAAATCCAACGTGGAAACCCAGCAAGCTCATCCGCCCAAACACCCTGGGCAGCAGCGACTGGATTAAAACCAGGAAGGTCAGCAGAGGAAATCCTCAGGCTCCAGCTCTGCAGAGCTCCTAAGCCTCTTAGCACCATGGGGCTACATTTCAGTTCTAAAGCTGAGCTCTCCACAGCCAAACACTTCGTCAGCATTTCGACGACAGTAAATATTGTTTAATCATCCCCTGCCTGCAGCGTGCTGCTGGTTCAGAACATGGACCTTAGTCAGCTCTACCCAAACTAACCCAACTCCAACAGAAATCCAAACTAGATTAGCGTGTGTGTATAAATCTAGTTCTAATTTTAAATTACTATTTTGTATTAAAAATATAAAAATATAAATGTAAGACTAAATGAAAATCTGGCTTTGCTATATTTTTTCATGTTTTAATATTTCTGTCTCTTACCACAGAATTTTCTGTTACTGATTTACTTTTACACTATTGCTTCTAATAACCTCAAGCTCACCAGAACAGAAACACGTTTTTCTCCACACCTCCCCTGTGAGGAAGACCAAGCATCTTCAGTCCACCGACGGGGAACATAACTGCAGAAGGACTGTGGGTAAGATTACGGGAGTCTGAATCCTCTTCAGTGGACCCCAAATCTCTCAAGAACTTTTGAGAATGTTACCTGAAGGAGTTAGTTACTCCCGACCGTTTCAAGAGGTTGACCTGGGAACTTCCAAGGAACCATTACGATAGCTGTGGAAGGCACCAGGCTGTGCTACGGAGTCATCTGAGATTAAAGAAGGGAGACGACCTCCAGGAGCCCAGGAGGCCGTAAGCCTTCTCACAAGTCAAGTACGAAATTGCAGTATCAAGCAGCTCGCTGTAGTTGGGAGAAAGCAAAGATTTTCTCCAGCAAAGTGGAGCTTAATACAAATTTCTCCTGACAAGCACTGGAAGCCCAGAAACATTGTTCCCTATTATGAGAGAATATCTGTTTAAACGGATGAAAGTGGCTGCAGTTGAGACATCGGAGATTTAGAAGTAATCTTCATGAACATTAATGAGCCAGACCCTCAGCTGGTAAAGCCTGACACAGCTTAACTGAAAATCAATGCTGCCACACTGATTTACACCCGCTGAGCGTTTGTTCCAAAGGCATCCAATCTCGCAATGCGAGTTTGGAAAAACCTGCACCAAAAAAAATCCCGGTGCCAACGTGCTCTCTCTTTACTCACTAGTGCGGCGAAAGCACCCGGTTGGCTCCCTCTCCTCAGGAATCCTACATTAAAAGTCTGATGGCGTGTTGCCCTCCTCAGCAGGTTCCTTCCACCAGGTCCTTCAATCTGTGCATCAATAAATCTCTGAGGCGCAACCGTTTCACCACTAGCAACAGGCTTTATGACTGCACGGCACTTAAAACATACACTGAAACGTACACGTTTTAGGATAGATGGCTATTTAAACATACTCTAAAAGCAATACTCTGCCCTTCTATTAGGCAGATCTTTGGTTTTGACTTTATATAGCTCCATTAGCTGTAATTTTCCTCTTGCAATTAGGAGGAAACGTGGCCATAAAGTTGATACTGAAACTTGCTAGGAACTTGCATATAATTTCATAATGTATTTGCCAAGTGCTAATTGCCTCTTACTTAAATGTCTCTTGCTTTGCAACTCAAAGCATTTGCAAAAACTAAAAGACTTTTATGGACCTGGCTGATCAGAGGTTAGCTTAACCTCAGGGCAGCACCGGCACGGACCTTAGGCACGCAGTGTATTTCTTTCTTCACGTACAAATCCATCTTGCAAGGTCAGTGAGCTGCTCTACAAGAACTGCAAGGATGCCGAGAAAAAGAGAAATGATTTGAGCGACGGGCAGAGAGTAGCCTCTACTTCTACACATGCAGAGGACAGACACCGCCCAGAGAAGGGTCCCTCCTTTAGGGCTCATCGGGGGACAGCAGAGCCAGAACACCTTTTTTCCTCCTTCCCTAGGAGGTTAGGGACATACAAGAGTATAGCTGTCCAGGTAAAGCCAACGAGCAGGGAAGGGAGAAGCACATTTGACATGGGAAGCTCCACACACCAGGAGTCCAAAGCATGACTGGTAACGGTGATCCCCACACTGAGGGGCGAGGTCGCAGGGAGCGAGAGCAGCTCAGCCCTGCTATAGATCAAGCTACCAGTAACGCTGAAGCCAGCCAGAGGAGGGGAAAGCCAAGCTCCTTATAGATCCAAAGTTCACAGAAGATGAACAACAGCGTGAGGAAGTCCCTGTATCATGCACTTGGCAACTTTATGTGCTATGCGATAGGGTGAGCATAAGATTTATCAGGAGACTGAAAGAACATGTCCACATTGCCCTTTGGATGAGGTTACCAAACCCAACAGGATCTCCAAGCAGAGCTGGAGAGCCCTGTCCCCTCCCCGCAGAAAGCCTCTGCCAGCCTGCCAAGTCTCATAGGGGCATGCAAGGAGCATACAGCACTGCAAATTTTTGACTTTAGGGCTACGAGGATGGTGAGGGGACTGGAGCATCTCCCCTACGAGGAGAGGTTGAGGGAACTGGGCTTGTTCAGCCTGAGGAAGAGAAGGCTGCGAGGGGACCTTATAAATGCCTACAAATATCTGCAGGGTGGGTGTCAGGAGGATGGGGCCAAGCTCTTTTCAGTGGTGCCCAGTGACAGGACAAGGGGTAATGGGCACAAACTGAGGCACAGGAAGTTCCGTCTGAACATGAGGAGGAACTTCTTCTCTCTGAGGGTGACGGAGCACTGGAACAGGCTGCCCAGGGAGGTTGTGGAGTCTCCTTCTCTGGAGATATTCAAGCCCCGCGTGGACAAGATCCTGTGCAGCCTGCTGTAGGTGACCCTGCTTCGGCAGGGGGGTTGGACTAGATGACCCACAGAGGTCCCTTCCAACCCCTACTATTCTGTGTGATTCTGTGATTCTGTACCGTTCAGATGCTCCCCAGACAGTCAGGCTGGATCTGCCTTTTCCTTCTTTCAGTTCTATTATCTCTCATCTGTGTGTGTGTCTGACTTCTCTGCTGACCTGGTCCTGCAATCTTGTAAATACTCCAGCATCACAAGCCAGTGCCCCCTTCCCGGCTCTGCTCAGCCTCTGCCCAGACAGGCGGGCGTTTACTCACGCTGGGTTTGCTGGGAGGTCAGGTCCCTTCAGTCTGCCAAGTGCTGTTATTCCAGCATCAATCAGCAGCACTACTGCGGGCAGGTCCTGGCCTGAACACAACATGACGCTTCCCTGAAACATGGCGAGTCCCAGGGAGACACTTCTAAAAATGAACGAATGTTAATCTGCATTTAGGGCCCTGGAAAGAAACAGTTTGATTCAAATGTCACTGCTGACACCCCGACCTTTCCAGGATCCGCCCCCATGTCTAGGTGAAGATCTGTGGGCCTGCTTTTAGGCATCAGAGCCGAAAGGGTAAGCCATCCCTGGCATCAGCAGGGCACAGAGAAAACTGAAAGGCATTCAAGTGCCGTGAAACGAGATTCAGGATGACAACAAACCCAAAAAGAAGCTGACATCTAAGTGCAAGTGCTCTTGTGTGTCTGCGCTGGCGGCTGCACCACCAAAACGAGCTCCGCGTCTGCGAGGCTGTCCGAGGAGGACGGAGAGCACGTTCTTCAGAGCAGTGCCTGCAGAGGAAGCCACGGACCCTCGGTGCTCACAGCAACACTTCGACACAAGATGGAGATTTCAGGAGGAATCTGAAATCAATTCTGACCAGGAATCTAAGCAAAGCTTCAGCTAGAACCACCAGTCACTTACACAGAGGGAATGCTTTTCCATCACACCCTCTCTAACTTTGCAAATACCTACGACCATGGTAAACACAGCAGCTTATGGCAGAGTTCAGCACTCATCTCCTAATGCATTTCATGAGTTTCTTTCGAAAAATCCCACTGTTAACTTCTATTTCATTTGTAATACTTCAGACTAGTCCAAGTTTAAAGCAGTTGACACCACTGATCTACTGGAACCACTGATTACTCGATCTCATTTTCTCCCGCTGACACAGTCTGTTGCCATCAGCTGAAACGCACCAACTCTTTTCCAACAAAGCAGCTGACATGGAAATGAAGCATCACCCACCCAGCCTGCTTTCACGGAAAAGAAATCGTGAAAGCTGCTCTTATCGGAGCAAATCTTCAGTTTTAAGAAAAATCTGCAGAGCTTCAATAGATTTAGAGTCGCTTCTTTCTCTCTTTTCTCCCAAACAACTGTACCCATCTCAGCCCCGATCCTTTCAGACAGGTAAATTCCGAGCGAGACGCCTGGATTACCTTCATACGTCGCTTTGAATCCCAGCAAGTTGCTGACGCTGTCTGTCTGGAAGAGGAGCCACATCTGGTGGTGGGTGCTAACGATCAGATCAGGGACTGTGGTGCCTGTCAAGCTGCAAAAATAAACAAGTAAACTGCCTGTACATCTCCCCGAACTTATTTTCCCACCAAAATAAAGGCCAAATATAACTCGGTGGGAGCAGAACATAACAAAGGCAGTGCCAACACAATTAATAACCCCACAACGGAACACTGCCCAAAAACCCGACAGATCTTCAAGACTGATGAGCCTCTCCGTGTGTTTCTGCGTACTACCTGCGCAGTCAGTCTTCTACCACAGCTGAGGGCCTGAAAGTTACTATTATCATCACCATAATAATTACAATTTAGTATCATCATTACAATATATTATCCAGCATCAAGAGTAATCATTTCCTTTCTCACAGAAGCAGAACACAAGCAAACAAAATTCCCAGAACCCATACCGGTGACTGGATCCTCTTCACTGCCTTTAGAGACATTTTCTGGTATTACAAAAATTTACTTTCAACATATTCTCTGCTCCATTTCTATCCTGACAGAAAAGTTCCCACAAAAATCTCAAACCACCCACTAACGCAGGCAGCACGGGGCGATCAGGACACTGCCTGCCCTTCAGCGGTGCTCCCAGGAGAGCTGAAGAGATTTAGAAAAATGTCACCAATACATCCCTATTAATGAGCTGTGTGTGGTTTGTTCAGCCTTTGGGATTAATCACCTCGTGGGGGTTCAACACAGCTTTAGAGCTTTATCCCGCGCCCACACGCGCACCGGCGTGGGCAGTTACACACACCCAAGTGCCCTCCCTGAGCACAGCTCCTTCGCTTCCCTCTGCTTCAGAAAACAGAGTAACTGCGTGGGAAGGGAGCGTTACTACAGGAGTATGAGTGTTACGTTGCCTGTCTTAGTGGCAGTGTTTAATGTTGTTATTATGCTATTCCTGCTAAAGTATAATCTATGATAAATTTATAAATTACCTTAAGTGTGACTACTGCAAGTGGATAGGTGGGGGTTTTTTTCCTGTAATGTTTGCTTAAATCTAAATACATACATATGTATAGACAGGCTTCTGCCTGGCACCGTTCTCAAGTACAATAGCAGCACCTGAAAGACTCCTTGATAAAATTGATCCCCAAGCTCTCCAGGCAGAATTACTGCAAACCAGTACTGCAAGGGAACAAACCCAGCAGCTGTGTGTTGACAGCATCCTCTGAATAAACCTAACTCGCAACCTCCAGGCGTAACTGCTGCAATTCCCAGTTTCCTGGGTAATTGGAGACAGTATGGCTGGTCTGGCAATTACTCTTTGTTTAGAGTCAAATCAAACGACTGCTTGAAGGGCTGGACTAGTTATTCTGCTCGCTTGACATTCTCAACACCAGCTATCGGCCAAGGGCCAGGTTCTTTCCAACAGCCTTACAGGTGTCTGTAGTAAATGGGACCAACCTGGCCATGCACACCTAACTCTCCTCCCCATCCTAGAGACTTTCACCATCACATACACACCAGGGTCTACCGCAGCACCTGGCAGCAGCCACCGCTCACGCCTCGGCCGTGGAATCTGGCGAGTGTGAAATCTGGTGAGAGTGGTTTTCCTGAAATCACATTCACGTCCCCCAAGTCCATCAGAGCTCCCAGTTCTGCCCCCACTTTTGCTCTGTTATTCCTTGGACCTGCATCAGAAACTTTACTGTTCCCAGGGTGCTGGTAAATTGAGAAGTAATCTTGCTTTAATGACTGTTTCACATCCAGAGCGTTCGACGGGGAGTGCAGAAGAAGTGCTATTGTTGATTCTTCTCAAGTTATTTCAGCAGCAGACAGGCAGGAATGAGGAACATTCCAAAAGAAAAACCTTCAGAAAAAGGGGCTTCAGTTTTTGCATGCCTTCCCATTCCACTGTAACAAGCTGAATGATTGATACGGGTGCTTGTTACTTCAGGGAATAAAATCCTCTCTGCAAGTCAGAAAGCTCAGCCTAACAATCTGTTCTGTTCTCCGAGATGCGTTTCACAGGGATGTGAGTGAGACTGGAGACAAATGGTCCCTCCTCCCTCAGCTTGGGATCACGTCTGCTGCTATGCAAGTCAATTCAAATGTATTTCTTGATTTGAAAGGCTGCAGGACCGAGTTCCTCTTGAGTAGCTGAGAATAAGCGAAGAGTAGTGAGAAAATTGGAACTCATATCTTTGACAGGGTTAGGTTTCTGCACATTGATTCCTCCAAAGAAACTCCAGCTTGTATCCAACGGATATCCAGCCTGTGCCGTGAATTCAGCTGACAGCAGGTAAGCGGGCAGCAGCCGCTGAGGAAAGTTGTTTGTGGACTTTCAACCACGTTCATTACAAATGGAGTATTTCTGTGGTCTTCATGCCTCTTCCACATTTCATTAGTTTTCAATTTATCCTCCCAGATTAAAAACAAACATAAACAAATTCTCCTGCTAGGATTAGCATCGGCAATTTAATGGGAAGCCCTCCTGCACTAGTAGAGGACACCACACGCTACATCTTGTGCAGTCTCAGATTTCCAAATGTGCACTAGCAAGGTGATGAGTAGCTAATACAGAGTGAGAAAATATGGAACGATTAAAATCAAAACTATGAAAAACTTCGTGGGCTTTAGGCAAACAAAGAGGATGGAACGAGAAATCATTTCAGCAGGTCATTACAAACTACTCCCCTGGCAGCAATTTGCACATTTTGACCAATCAGCTGTGAAGTGCTCTGTGACACTTTAATTACAAACACCCTGCAATAATCAGACTTTATATGTATATACACTGCAGGTTAGAGTTCCTGACCTGAGTATCACCGGTGTTCATGTTCTGAAAAGAAATGTACAGGGAAATAAACCTCAGAGAAACAGATTTTGGAAAGGCAAGCAAACATAAAGACAAGTGAAAATGGAGTGGGAGGCTGATTCATGTGGAAAAACAAATGAAGAGGAGGAATTAAAAAACACAGTATGAAATACTCTCTACCAGTTGGAAAGAGTACAACAGCTCTGCTAGAGTAGATTTTGGAGAGTTGTTTGCTCCCAAACATTTTTTTATTAGGTAGAAAAGAAGGAAGTCTTTCAAGTTAAGACACTAGAGCTGGACGCTGTTGGCCCTGGTTCCAGCACCCCGTCCATCACTTCATATATTCCTTCTGAATGTCACGGTGACTCCTCCCTGCTTCTGCTCCAGTGCTCGGCCCCGCAAGTGCCCTCGAGACACCTGAGACTCCGGCCAACACCGCAGGCTTACTTCTTCACTCGCAAGAGGCAAACGATACCCCGACACGGCAAGCAGGCACGCTGCCAGAGGTGGTCAGGATCGGCACATGCGGTTCTGAGCTCCAGGGTATGGAGCAAAACACCTACCACCTACCTACAGAACTTCAGGCAAGCAGCACACCCTTGCATTATCCAAGGTACAGCACCCTGAGGTCTCCAACAGTTTTTAAATTTTGGGTTTCCATAAAGCTAGACAGTATTTTACTTTAATGGTTCAGAGAAGCTATAGTAGAATCATTGTTTCTTCAGTACAGTGGATTTGAATGATATACAATTATCACAACTACATTTGAATGATACACAAATTGATTTCCCACTGACCCTTCAGAAAGGAACAGAGAGACTTTACTGGAGGAAGAGCAAACACAAGCCATTAACATCAGCAGGCTAACGAGAGTAAGCAGCCTTCTGAAAGATGATCAACGCTCAGTCTGTTTCAACTGTGGCATTTTCTAGAGGTTATTGCGAAAGATCCTGACTTACCCCTACGCTACACACGGATCCACTCGCACTACAACCACTTCCTTCGCACGGAGCAGATTCAGAGTGGAGCTCACTGTGCATGCAAAACTACCATTCAGCGAGACACCAGCGCTCAAAGGGGGAAGCACACCTCTGTGGTCTGCACACCGACTGCCACCCTCCATCCCAACTCTGCGCTCCCAGCACATGCCTTCCTCAGAGCAGCCAAGTGCTCTCACCAACCTCCAAACTGCCTAAAAAACAGCAGACACCAGAAACTGATGCTTACATGCTGTAAAACACAGGGATCAGGGAAAACCCTTGCCTTCAATCTACTAACCCACATGTTCCTTTGCATCATTCTGACTGACACACTCCTTCCAACTGAAACCAGAACTGCCTCCGGTTATCAAGCACTGAGTAGGAGATGGCAAATGCCAACACAGAGCCCATTTCCCTTTTATTCCCTGTATTAGCTGCACTAGAACATAAAGCACTTGGTCTTCAAATCTTCAAAAACAATAGACTGACAAAACAGCAATTCCATATTCTAAAAACCAGCAACATCAGAGATGCCATCTCTTCCTTCAGCACAGTTAGATTGGCCCTGTATTGGTCCAATGCCCTTTCTTCACAACTAAAATTGAAAAAAAAAAAAAAAAATCAAAAAACAACCCCAAACAACCAAAACACCCAAACATTTAGTTGAGAAACACTGATCTAGGATGGCCTAGAAGGAAAGTAGGACTATCTGCTACTTTAAATGCAGTAAAATGTAAATGTAAAATGCTCAGGATGTCACTCAGAGGTAACGGATTCACAGCCACTTGGCACTGTGAAAAACGACCGCACGCGAAGGACAGCACAGGAGAGAGAAATCCAGACAGTTCTCAGTTTCTGCCTGATCTGCGTTTACTCTTGTGCCCGAACTTTAATCTGTTCCCTCAGCTCCCTGGGCAGGCTCAGCCTCCCTCTTAGGGGCCCTGACAAAGGCCGTTCAAGTGAAGCAAAGAGGGAAGAGCCCTTCTGTCAGCTGAAGCCTGACAGAATGTGACGAGGGCAGAGCACACCAGACAGAGTCAGCTCCCCCCCGCAGCCCAGCAGCACACAAACCCGCTGGCGAGGCACCGCAGGCAGACCGGGACCCTGCACCCACACACACCGCCCGCAGCCAACGCTCCCATGGGGATTTCCCACGGGACAAGGGACATGCTACTTACACGTAAAGCACAGTTTTCTGGTCTCCGACTTGTCCGCCATCACCCACTGTCAGAGTGTCATATCCTCTTTCTAGTTCAAATTCTTCAAAGGTGAGTTTGATAACCTGGCGAAGATGCAGCATGTTAATATGAATCAACAGCCACGGCAGCCAGCAGATCCTCTTGTCGTCTTTATTTATCTGTTTGTCTATCGAGAAGCAATTTATAAGACCATTAATATCTTCAGGACATCACCAAAGGTGACCGTCCTCGCTTTTAATAGCGCTGTAGCACTTCTCAGACAGATTGAGCTCTTACTGAAATTACCTCTCAGATTTTTCTGCTTTATCTATTGATTTTCTAGATGACTTTATTGATAAAGATATGTGTGTTGGGGTTTCAGCATGCTTTTTTTCACCACGAACCGCTACCGTTTCTTTCATAAACCTGAGCTTATGGTGATGGATTTGAATGTGCACAGAGGCAGCGGGTTTGTTACCTACGGTGCAGCAGAGAGTCTGTCTTTGCTCTGTGTTGCTCAGAAAGTTCCCCTGGTTTTCAGCAGCTTCTGTCAGACCAAGAAAGGCTTTATGTGAATTACCCCTGGGGTAGCTGTCTGCAGACACAACCATCATCAGATCTGTCCACAGCTGTTCTGCTCCTGTGTTTTCTCTCCAGCTCGATCCAAACCTTCCACCCCCACTCGATTTGGGCAGCCTCTACGTATCATCCAGGAGCAGAGGTCCACAGCAGCCGAGAGCTTTGTGTTCCGAGTCTCTGCTGCTTTCAAAATCTCTGATTTTCAAATAGCTGAGAACTACAACGCGATTTAGGGGCTAAAGGTCCTTAATCCAGCCTCGGACAGGGTGGACAAACAGAAAAGGAAGAGAGCTTAATTTGCACAAGCACTTTACATCCACAACACCAGGAGCAATCAACGGCAACTCTGTTTCTCTGAGCTTTCTAACTGAGGGGATCCAGGAAATCCCATGCACACCTGAATGCATCCAGACCTTTGTACCTGTGCCTGTGAATACATTAGATTTCCTAACTCTTAACAGACTAACTTACCAAATTTAGTTTCACCCTACTTTTTGCTGTATCACACAACACAGAAGTTATCAACAGCAATTAACGTGAAAGGACCTATGTGTGTACCGAGGAGCATGGACACGCGATGCCACCCTGCGCCTCTTGACTTGGGACAAGGAAGCAAGGCCCAGGAAAACAAGAATCTGTGTCTTGTAATTTCTTGCCTGTTATAAAAGCAGCATCCCCTGCCTGTGGGCAACCACAGGGGGATAAAAGTCCCAAAGTTAAAATCAAAAGCAATAATTATTGTGTTAAATGCCAGCATGCTTCTACAGCCTCTTCAAGGCTTGTACGGACTCTCTAGGAAGCTGACAACATTTTTCTGTCACAAGCTGCTCAACTTCAACCCCTGAAGAAAACCCTGATCAGACAGACGTTGAATGGCTTGAGTGTTCTTTAAAAAATAACGGGTGTAGACATAGTTCGGACTGAATTATCATGTGCTACCATCTTCTACATATAAATGCAATTAACGCTTGTCAACTGCACAGAAAAGCAAACCAGGTATGTTAGCAGTGACACTCTGAGAATGGGGTATTACCCCAAAGTCCCAGGACTGCGCCACAGGAACCTGTGTGCTACTTCATAGCAGTCTGGAACCATTAATTTTAGTAGCAGTACCAAAATATTAACCCATGCAGATTATTATTAAACCATGTAATGATGGAATAATGTAATTAATACAAAGAACACAGTGCTGTAAAACGGCACACACCATTAGTTAAAATCACTCATTCAAGTAAACTCCATTCTGAGGAGTGTGACCCTAATTAACTAACTAATTACATTCTAGGATACTGCAGCCTTGTGGCACAGGAACAGGATGCTGAATACAATATTTATTTATCCATTTTCCTATTTTCTTTTTGGTCTGAAAGCTGAAAATTATTTCGTGATTCATTAAACAACCAGAGCCCTACCAGCACAGACAAACAGAGGGATGACACAAAACCTCAATTTTGCGCTGCTGAAGTGACAGGAAGCAATTAGCAAAGTCAAGAAAACAGGCTGGAATATGACACCTGATTCGAAGGCTTTGTGCTGCAAAGTGATTTGAAGTGCGGTCACATTCACAGGAAAAAACCCACAATAACTCTCTCCATGGAGAGCAGCACCTCTTGCAGTTATATTCAAATGCTTTACAAGCGCACATTACTCACTTCCCCCGCGCCCTCCCCTGTCCCCAGCATCTGTCTCCATTTGGGATGAATCATCCCCTGGAGGGGCCCATCGCTCTCCACGATGACACAGGCGGCTTGGACAGAGCTTTATTTGGCGAGCTAGACTGCAGGTGAGAGCAACCACAGGAGACATATCAACCAGTAACAGCCATTATGTCAGGCAGGTTCAGCAATAGTTTCGATGCAAATTCCCCAATTATCATACGTGTTTCTCAGTTCCCAAGTGATTTATTTTTCCACTGTGGTTGAAATTAATTCCCATGGCACTGGGGACCAGCAAAAAACCTACATACCCTGAGTATGCCCCAAATAGGTTTGATGTCACCCTCTGTATAGGAAATAATTCCAAGTTGTCAACTGAAAAGCACTATGCCCTTCATACTGTTTATGTAGGTTTCTGAGCAAACTTCGAGGGGATTATGTAGTTCAGCGAATCTGGCTCACAGTTCTTTTCCAAATATAGAACAGATGACTTGCAAATGAGTTCTAAATTCAGCTTCTTGGTTTTCCCATTGCTCATATTAAAAGCTTCATATAACAGGACCCGATCCAAAGACCACTCAAGTCAATAAAAAGATTACCACTGACTTCAGCAGGCTTCAGCTCAGGCCCATAATGCTTTTTATCTTCAAAGTATTTTACAGGCTTTTTAATTAATTCATCTTCAATCCTCCCCTCACCCGTGCTGGGGAATGTGCGACGATGAGATCATCCCCTTCGCACACAACGGTGACGGGAGCCAGGGGGGTGAATTCCCCAGTTTAGCAACATGTTTCTAACACGGGCTGCGCCTTACACGAGCCAGAGTTTTAGGGGCACTTTTCAGAGGCAGCACTCTATGACCTGCTAGGTAGGAACACCAGCGACCGAGCTGGCACTCGAACTCGCACACCAGCATCTCCCAGCGCTATGCTGGGTTACGGGCATGCGAGCCGCCGCACTGCCCTACGCAGCCAGCCTCCGGAGCGGTCTGCTGGACAGAACCACCCGTCCGTGCTGTGAATCTGCTCGCCCTTCTGTATTTTCATCCATCAGATACGCTCCTGTCTGCACAACCTTCATTTCTGGAGCCTTAATGAGATCTCTGAACAGCAGAAAGCCCTAAGGGCAAGTGATTTGCTTCCACCACTTCCCTTCCTCCCAAGGAGCAGCGGCTTTCCCAAAACAATCAGTGCGTTCCTCGCAGCCCTCCCTGCTTCAAAGAGGCGGGTGAACAGTTTTTCCCTACCTGTAAATTACACTTCCAGGACGAAACATCCAGAAACCCTTTATAAACTGGTATTACTAATAAACTATTTATCGCTTCCAAGAAAAAGAAAACGGCAGGCTCTTTACACAGTTAACACAAGCTGCTGATCTGTCCAGCCTATCCTTATTTTTGTTGTGCTACACCTCTTCACAGCATACGATGTTGCAGCCCATGGAGCACAAACTCCAGTTTGTTGTGCTATTGAATCTCTGCTCCAAGTTGGTAAGTATTGAAATCAAAAGATTTTATCAATTTCAATCCCTTTTATAAAAGGTGAGGATCAGGACTTGCAGATTCTGTTTTCTCATCAACAGTTTATTATTACACAGGTTTAAAAGCTGAGAAGGAAGCTAACCAGGGGAAGAGCAGAAACCTTCTGTGAGCAGAAATCCACAGAGACAGCAAGTTTTTGAAAAATGAGACCATCTGCCCAGGAAGCTAACAAAAGGAGAAGCTTGTCCCATCCCACTGCTGAAGGAAAGCAGAGAAAGTTTGTGCACAAGGCTGGCAGAAAAGCAAATGAACAGAGCTGAAGATTAGACTCCGAACACTCAACACGACAGCAATGTGACAAAGGGTCAATGAAACAGTGGACACGGCCCCGAAGCATCTCTTGGCAATTGACTGCCACCTCCTCTTCACAATTTGTACCAGAAAACCCAAATGGAAGTGTCTGCCTTCATAACACCCAGCACGTGTCTACATCTAGCTCACTGCAACTTCTTTCCAAACACAGAGGACTAGTTTATCTACACAAAACCCGGATTTTGCTGATCTTTGTAAGACAAAGATGCACAAAAACACAGGTACGTGTAGGACGGATCCCACAGCCTAGGATGCTGAGGTATTCAATAGCCTGCCCATGCCCAGGCAATGGACACCCAAGGGTCTGCAGGCCACCGGCTGCAAACCACAGCTGACACCTGAGCAGTAATAGCTGCTGTGCCACGTGGTCTGTTCTCCACTTGCACATTATCCTGATGAAGGAGAACCTCCTGGGTCTGATTAACCAGTAAATCACTCCCAATAAATCAGTGCTGAAAAATATCCTGATTCCACACTCCGGTTTCCTGGAATTTGGGTCATTACTACAACCCCGTGCAGCCAAACCAAGACATCCGCTGGATGAAACGACCAGCTAATGACAGCCCTTAAAATACAAACTCATTCTGAAACTGGAACACAGGAATACTCCTCATTAAAACCATAATCCCCCAGCAATCTGCACTTATTAAAGGCTCGAATGGAGGTCAACGGGGAGGGAGCAGCAGAACCCACCAGGGTCTCCAGCCAGCCCCAGCTCCGGCCAGCGAGGCAGAGGGAGGCGAGAGCAGAAGGCGCCGTCCCCTCAGCAGCAGCGAGCAGGCTACAACGGCGGGTGCTTGCCAGCGTTTCTGCAGACCGTAACAATTTCTAGCAAAAGATGAGATCCTGGGATATTAACATGTTTGTGAAATGCCTTCCTCAGATGAGCGGCAAAAGGCAGAGTGCCAAAACACAGGACTGTCCAGAGGCAAGGACCCAGGCACAACTGAGAGAATAAACCCATGAGCTCAGTGCCTTGGCATGCAAAGTTTGATCATGAGCTAATGGAGATGATGTTAGTAGGAACCCAGAGACTAAAAGGAATGAAATTTCTTGTCTTCTGAGAGCAGAAAATGGTGAATAACACCTCAGAAAGTCTATTTTGAGCTACACAAAGTAATTTTTATGTTCCCATACAGATCTGGAAGAGAGGAACTGGCTGAGTTTGCGGGGCTGGAAAAAGCTGCCAGGCACTGAACATTGCCCTCCCTGGGCCAGTGGAAAATGGAAAGGACTTGATCTTACAAAGGCCAAGGCACTCAAGCTTGTTCTCTACATGGTCAGTGACAACAGACTCAAATCACACATGCAGACCAGTAAATCCCCACCAACCTACCCCTCTTCCAAAGCTCAGTGAACACAGAAGACCTGCTTATAAATTTACAACACTGCATAAACAGCAGCAGATAGAACCATGCCTCCCTCCTCGCCTGCCCTCTGCCCTTTGCGGGGTGAAAGTCCCGTTGGTCAGGGGCCAGCTACCAGCCAAAAGGCAGTGAAAAATCAGTGTTCCTGGCACAGCCTTCCTGCCCCAACTTGGCTTAGCGAGATGCTTTGCTAAGCAGTTTGGCTTTCCACCACCATTCACGCCAAGATATCAAAGAGGCTTCGATTAAAAATAATTGCATTCACTTTTAATTACATTCTTTAACAAAATGAATTTTCAGCAGAGAGGGAATACGACGTGTTGTAGTCTTTAAAGAGTTGAGAAACATGTGGAACAAGTCTGCGGAGGGAGAAGGGGGTACAACATCAGAAACTAAAGATCAGAGATAAGTCCTCTCTGCAGAAGCACAGCTACACAGCATTCCAACCAAGGCACCGAAGTAACGACATGGAGATGTCTCTCCGAGACCTACCTTGGCTGGATTGAGCGCAGTGATGACCCACACGCAGTAGGCATTGTTATCGTACTGGACAGGGTAGTTGGGAGAAGTTATCACACCGCTGGGACCACGAAGGTACGTATCGCACATCCTAGCTGCGAGGAGGAGAAGAGGAGAGATGCGGGAGTGAGCTCTCAGCTTTGGGATGCACACTGTGTTCTTTCTTTAAGGAGAAGAGAGAAGTAGAGATGCACACAGCATGGAAGTGCGGGAGAATTAAAAATTGCTGCTCTGTGTTGTTTTTGCTAGCCAAAGGATTCCTTTTTTTCCATGTAACATAGATGAAGGATTTATCTGATGAGTAGTGAGTGCGGCGTTTCCAGGGGCTATGCAAACAGATGGTGGACCACCAGACCAACCAACAACCACCCATTCTCTAGTGCTCAGACAGATTGATTCAATTTTTACTGTATTAAAGCCCTGACAGGAAAACTTTCACGTCCAGGACAGCGAAAGCAAGGACACGGAAGAGGCCAGGTAAGACACAGTTCCTTCTTAGCATCCCAGAAGGCTGTATTTCCTTTCTTCATTGCAGGCCAAAAGAAGTACTGTACAACAAGTATTTATTAATTATGTAAGGGCTGACTTCATTCTGGCATGGCTGTGGACTCAACCAAGATGGCAGCTCAGCTTTGTAGCTTAAAGAAATCTTAAGGCAAAGAAATCTTAAGGTAAAGCAGGAGCTGAAAAGTGCTTAAGTGGGGAAAGTTTTGCATTGTTTTGATGTAATATTTAACCAGAAAATGTGAAGAACAACTGTGCTCCGGTTTTGTAACTGCCTCTGCTGTTGTGATGGATCCTCAAAATTATTCTCTCTCCAAACTCAAAGGAGCTGTATTTGCACGTAGCATCTGCAAAGCTTTTTTTCCCCTCCAAATAGTAGTCAAGCAGGGAAAATGATCTCCTGGCCAAACTGTCTGACTAGGCAGGTGGTCACAAGGGAACGTGAGGAACTCCGAGAAGCAGCTCGGGAAGGAGCTGAGGGCAGCTACCCACGATGCCTCAACCGCCTTCCTCCTGCCCCCGTGTGACCCCCTCCTGGAGTCTGTTACACATGTCCCATCCTACCGTACAGAAAAAAGGTAAATCCCGTTATTCCCACTGTAAAAGTGGGGAACAGGAGCACAAAGGGATTAAGTGAGTCTCCCAGGACCCAGAGGGAATCTGCTGTAGATGGAGAAGCTGAAAAACAGTCCCCCGACAGTGGCAAGAGGTTTGATCACGGGGTATTGGAAATCACTGCAGTCCAGCAGGTTAAAAGCTGGCTCACCAGCACCCTGATTCCTGCAGTTTGAGAAACTCAACATCCAATAACAAAATGGAACAAACAGAAAAAAGTGCTATAAAGCTGAAATAAAAAGCAAATGAAAACTTTTTAAAAAGAAAAAAATCCCAAAGTTAGCAGTTAAAAAAAAAATTAAGTTGATTCATAGAATCATAATAATGCAGGCAAATCCATTCTTATCTCTTGCAAGATGACACCATAAATTTTCTTTATAGTGTCACATATTTTTGCCAAATATCCTCTTACACCGATTCAATTTATTCTAGGCTTGTTTCAAGAATTAGATGGGATTCCAAAGCCTTGAAAAAATCTGCAGACGAAAGGAAAGAAAAAAGAACTGAAAAAATACCAATTTATGACTTTAAGAGCTTTAGAGGGATTTAATTAAAAATATTACAAGTTGTTCATTATTAGCATTACAAATATCAGAATTATGCATGCCACTTTTTAGAGAGGGAATGAAAACAAAATGGCCAAGGGCAAAATGGGTATTAGGTTCTTTCCTACCGAAAGAAAATTCCATTCGCTGATGGCTCACGGCTGGGCCACAGGATAATCGGGATCACGCTAGTCAGGAACCCCAGTCTAAGTAATCCCACGCTGCTGCCGAGTAGCAGCAAGTTCCATTTATCAGAATCTCCCTCCATCTTAGCTTCTCCAGATTTTGTTTTACGCTTTCACCTTATCTCCCCTCTCCTCCTTATCCCACAAAGAGGAGTATCCAGAACAGAGAGAACAGAGGGGACAGAAATCATCACTAAGAGGCGAGGATGTTGTGCACAGGTATGAAGGACACAAATATAATGGTGCAGAGCTAATAGCTGGTGAAGCTCCATAGCTAATGAAATAGCTTTATTACTTCCACTATGTGCAGGAACCGGTGTTTTTCTTAAAACCTGAATTTCTGGAATCAAAAAATTGCACGAGAACCAAGGAAAGGTATCTTCCTCAGGCTTGTGCTGAAAAGACTGAAAATTTGAACTCCTGTTACACTCTCCTGCTCTCAGAATGACCATTAGAAAAGAATAAAGATCCTCTTGGCTTCTGACCACGAAGCTGACGAGACCAAACTCCTGTTCCCAAGAGCACAAATGCCCCCGGAGTGGTGCTGAACACGTTGCAGTGCAGAGCTGAACCCTTCCCACCGGCTGCGCGCACTGAGAGGGGCTCTTCTAGCTGTGCCCTTGTCTGAGGCCGGGCTTCAAAACAGAGCTGTACCATGGCCACATGGCGGGCTGAGGTTAAGCGCCGCGTGAGGGACCCTAGCCAAGCCGTGACAAACTTCAGGACAGAATGGGCGATGCGTGAAGGGGGCATTAAGGAGATGGGTTTTCTCGTTAGTCCTAATAGCGAAGTAAAAAAATGCTTGTCTTCTCACCTCTGCACACTGGCCTGTGGTCACTCCACGCAACGATTATGTCGCTCACTCTCTTACAGGTGATGCTTTTGGACCCTTGTAAATCATAGCCCTCGTTACAGGCGAACTGGATGCTGGAGCCTAACCTAGCGGACAGAACAAAGGCGAAGTTAGCAACCGCGACACTCCTGCAGCAGCGGGCTTGTCGCTCCCCACCACCCCAGTGATTCTCCAGCTCGTGACCAGAGGGAGCTCCCTGGCCTCCAGGCAGCAGCAGAAACGAAGCAGGGGCAAGGCTGGGCCTCACGCGTTCCTTGTGCCGGGTGCCGTCTGCCCGAGGTGGTGACAGTCCCGGACAGAGCTGGGTCTTTCAATGCACCTTCAGCAGAAACTGCTCTCAGTGCAGGAGCACAGACTCAGCCCCAAGAGATGACATGCTCAGCATTCTTATAAATAAAAAAAAGTATCTTTATCTACTACTGAAGGATTTGTTCTTTATTCTACCACTTTGGATTCAGATCCTTCGCTGGTTTAAGCCAATGCTGTGTTATTCACTGAAGCGACCCAACGCCGGTCCGCAGCAGCTGACGGTTTATCCTAGGGCATTTCGGGACCAGGGGGAGCTCCCCTTCCTCCGCCCTGAACCCCTCCGATCCATTTGCTGGATTTCAGGAGAATTTGATAGACTCAGGTTAAACTGAAAGACACTTTCGGTGAACAAAACAGCCATCGACAGCAACGTAAGATTAAATATTGATTCACCACTGCTAACAGCAGGCTGCTTCGTTCCCGCACACTTTAAATGAACATGAGCAACTACAAGGGAATAACAGCATTGTTTTAAACTTTATAAGAAAACAATTATCTAGCACCACATATACTTATTGACAAGGAACTGTACCAGTGCTTTGGGAAGTCACCTCAAATTTACTAGGGGCAGGGCCATGCTGTGACTTAAGCTAATTTCAGAGTGATTTCTTTGGTGTTTAAGACAGTTCTTTCTGCACACATGGGAGGGGGGAATGACAACAAACATTGATTATACAAGCCTGGCTAAACGCCTGTATGGTGAAGAGAGAAACACTCTGAAAGAGAGATCACCACAAGCGCTCGGCTGGGACACGGTCTCCCCAACACACGTGCACATTTCTCCACACTTGTCCCACACCACGCCAGCCTCAGCAAGCTTTTGGACACAGTGCGTTCCGAGGTGAGCAGATGGCCTCTAAAACCAGACTACGGGATGGCGAGGAGCACACACAATGGATGCAGACAGGAGCTTTGCAGCATGCAGAAACACACAGGTAAACAGTTCTTACCTAAAATCGTTGCCTATTCTTTTGCCTCTCTCGGGAATCCCAGGGTCTGGACACATATTATGTCCCTGGGACACACCAACCTGAGTTACTACAAAGCAAAAACAGCACATACAGAGACAGAATAGCAAAAGAAACATTCTTTCATCAACTGTCTTGGTGGATGTGGAGAGAAAAATGGCAACTGGTAGCTCGAAAACCTGAACATGTTCCATTCTGTTCAGAGAAAAACAACTCTGGAAATAAATGTAACTGGAATCATTTCAGCTCAGTTTATACACCGAAGTGTTTTCTAGGAAATGCCAGCAAAGGACGCAGTTTTCCCTCCATTCCACTACCGAAGTACCTCTGAAAAGCGTGTTTTCATTCTACAAAATGACACCAATTAACCAGCCCATTTGCAAAGCCTGTGATTACCAGGGCCACCTGTGCCAGGACAAGGTGACAGCCCACCGCCCCGCCGGAGCCCGCCGAGGGATGCCAGGGAAGGAACACCGCGAGGGAAGGCAGGCGTGTGGTACCAGGGGGAAATCAAGCACAGAACACAGGGGAGAAAGAAGAGGGAAATGCCAGTCTAGCATTTTAAAGCAAGTAATTTAGTTTGAATATGAAAAATTTTATGGAGCAACCTTAGTATAACTGCCAACAAACATGAAATCTATGCAGTGGTGATCAGCGCTGAATAAACACCTTCAGACGTCATTCTCTGCCTCCCCACTTCCACCTTCCCCTCCAGTCTGTCAAATGGCGCAAACAAGCATGGACTCGGGGTGGATATAGCCTGGGTGGCTCCAGGATGAGATGAGATCTGGCAACGTACTGATTACAATTCTGAATTCCAGCAACTACCAAAATGCATGATAATATGGGACAAAGGGATGATTTTGTCGTAGCAGTTTACGCGACTCAGTTTTCTCGTATTACTAAGGGAAGGACGCAAAGAAAACGCCACACTTCTCGGCAATGATGCAGCAGCAAAGCATGACTCTTAAGCGAGCATGGTTCCGTTCTACCTCTGCCTATCGCCAGACGAGAGGAAAAAAACCTCAAATATACTTCAGAACATACTGTGTTATCCCAGTGCCCAAAAGACCGATGCCAAATGGATGCTGGTGCGGTGATAAAAGCATGCGTCTCGGACCAGACACGTGGGCTCAACAGTTTGATCTGCATGGCAGCAAACGCGGTGAAAGACAGAGGTGCGTGCACGTCAGTACTGACAGGGCAAGGTAAGCACATGGAGTGCCTGCACAAACACAGGCTGCACAGCGTGAACACACAACAAGGCAAGACCATCAAACATGGTAATTATTCATTCATTAATTACACCTCGTGTAGTCAGGCACTACAGCTGGAAGATATGACACTGTTCCAGAAAGGACGGAAGGATCAGTCCGCTCCCGCTGGTACAGGGCTTTCATCTGAGCATCTACACCTAACTGCTGGCTACCTACACCGACAACACTACAGCTCCCGACCCCTCCTCGGCTCTGGGCACCAACATCTCATGCCCTTCAACTCTGAAAGGGGCTCTGCCTCTCCTGGCTCCCCTTCCACACCCGCTCCCAGCCCCCCATGCCAGAGCTGAGTCCGTGCTGCTGCGTGCGGGACCCGCAGGGATGGGCTGGGGCTGTCCCTGCTGCTGCACCGGGCTCGGGCTTTCGGCAGGACACTTCGGTGCTCCGCAGTCTCCTCGCATGTTCGAGGGCACAGGAGTAACAGAGAAACAGCTTTCTGGGAAGCCAGGCTCCTGAGAGACCGTTTTCCCTGTTCTGCATATTCATAAACTCACGGTAAGCTCAGTCACGCAGACAAGCAGAGACACCAGCAAGAGACAGAAGCATGAAAGCAGCACACGGCATCTTTTGACGGCTGTGTTTTGTAGCTACAAAGCTTTGCTCCACCATTCTCAGATCCTCATGAGTCTGAACCTACACCAGAGGCAGAAGGAAGGGAGTCCCTGCCCAGAGCAGGGATTCGTCTCTGCTGTCTTCAGCAACCAAACCCTGGTAATTGAAGCCGCCGTGACGAAACCCTGCTCCAGGCGTGGGTATCTCCCAGATGTCTCAGAGATGCAAAATAATTGGGTGATCCTTCTGCAAACAAAACCACCAGCTTCCACGAGCCCTTCTGCTAGTGCCTGAAATTATATGCTGCTTCGGAGAAATGAAAGGTCTGCTGAACAAAGTACAGAGGTGACGCCGTCTTCCTCGGGGTTTCTCCAGTCACTCCCTACCCACGCAAACAGGCTGACTGCGCACACAGGCATCTCCAAACAAAGTAAAATTAACGCATAGGATGGAGGGTACCAACTAGGGTTGTACGTCACAAGTCCGTATGGTATTTAAGGAAAATACTAAGACTTCTCATCTTACTCCTGTGCCTTCTCCAGAGTAAACACACACTAAATGAGATATGCCCACACCGTACAGATGGACAACCACGGCTTCTGCAGATACGGCTGCGTCCAAACGCTCGTATGCTCCTCCTTGCAGAGCAGATCACCAGACTGCCTTCCCACATCCAGATCTTTCTCCCATGGTAAAAGGCTAGCCAGACAACATCTTTTATGCCCATGTAACCCTGCGCTGGTATCACGCCCGTTTATTACGCCCCGTATCAGACGACGGCCAACCTTGCAGTCTCTGACGCAAAGCTTCAGGAGCGAGCCAGGCTACAGACAACCAGCAAAACCCACCAGCACCAGCGGGCAGGCTGTCGGTTACCAATCCCATTCCTGAAGACTGAAAACAGTTCTTCTCTTGTTAGCTAGCATTTTATTAATATCTCTGTTACACATGTAGATAAACCAGAGAGCAGATAAGATAAAACAGAGCAAGGGGGAAAGGAAAGATATCTCCATATCATGATAGTCGGGACATTTCACTCTGTAAGTGCAAAGAGCAAAAGAAAAGGAGACGATGCATTAGATGGTCCCTTATAGCAACTTTTGTTCTTCTGGTTTTTGTTTTAAACACACACACACGACCATAACTAAACCAAAGGTTACAAACCACATTTGTTATGCTGAGAACTTGCTGTCAGCGCTGTGTTCATCTTCCTGAAGGTTTGACTGATCTATGCCTGGGCTGCACACTCCAAAATGAATCCCTCAAGGTTACCAGGAAAACAATACATCTTAAAAACTGTAATGAACTGTTCCATTTCTACATTATAGGCTCAAGGATTCTCTCCCCCAAACCATGGAACTAGCTTCCCACCCTTTTATTCTCCTCCTGATTTTTTTCAGCAACTTCCCCCTCCTCGCGTCTTCAGTAACCGCCGGTTACGGTCGCTTTGTTTGCCACCGCCGTTTACTCCATCTGCCGAAAGAACTGAGACCTGCTTTAGTGCTTTGTATCTCCCCACGTTAATAAAGCTCACTGACAGACTCCCAAGGGACGATTTTTTTATTGAATTTAGGAATGTAAAATATGAACTACAAAATAAAGCAGCATCTAAAAGGTTTTACAAAGACTCAACGTTTCTCAGCATGAGAAATACAGCGAAAGCCACTGAGCTTTTCTACAGCTGATTTTTTTCTGCGGGGGGGGGGGGGGAGGGAAGGGTTGTAGCAGTTATTGGTCGTTTTAAAAACATTAATCCTTATGATCACGCCAAGGCTTGCAGTTATTCCATGCAACCATCTGGTCACGTGAACGGGTTACAAAATTCAGTCCTACAAGCAGGAGAGCTGACCTAGGGATAAGGTGCTCAGCCCAAGGAAGCGTCCGCTGCCTCTCTGGGCCAGGCAGGTCCTTCGGCACCCAGGCAAACGGCAAGCACTGCCAGACCCTCCGCAGCACCGATCCGGATGTTCAATACTCCCATGTCTCGCAATACGCAAGCGTGAAAAGGGTACAGACTTGGGCTAACACTGCAGAAGACTACTTTCAGCTGGAAATTTTTTACTTGGGGAATTCTGAACCTGTATTTCACACCTTGTTGCTATCTCCGAATAGCGCAGAAGTACGCCAGCTCAAAAACATTTACAGACTTTCAGATTTTAAAGACCATTTGCGAAGACTGTGTTTGCAGCACGCCCTACTTAAACCAAACGCAGCTTCTCTTGCAGCTCTCTCGCCTCGTGCTAGAGACCCCGGGCTGGCTCCTCTGCGGCTCAGTACCCACGGTGCTGCCGCCGTACCGCAGGGGGCCCCCCACCCCCCCCCCCAGC